TTTATGTGGTGGCTTTGACCTCAGGAGGGCTCTGGCTAGGCCCAGGCTAACCTGCCAAACATCTTTATACAACAAGAGATGAACATTGCTTCTATAGATTTTCATATTCTTCCAAAGCATTCCCACATAATAAAGATGTTTCGATTGAAGAGAGAGAGAGAGAGAAAGAGAGAGAGAGAGAGAGAGAGAGAGAGAGAGAGAGAGAGAGAGAGAATCAGCCCATGATCGTTTTCTGTCCTTTTCTCCCAGGAATATCACCAAAGCCTGTGGCAAAATGCACTCCTTAACACTCTGCTTAAGAAAGACTGTAAAACAATGTCGCAGAGAAGTGGCCCTATTACATCCACTGCTGCTCATGCCCACTGTCATTTGGTGGCACAATGAGAGGTCACGGGTAGGGCCACAGCACCCTTCCTAAAGAAACTAAAGCAGCAACGGGTTGTCTCCGCTGGGGTCCAGGCTGCCTGCATCTAGCATATAGCACAGAACTGGCTTTCCAAGTTGCCTGATGATTATCCTGCTTCGAACTAGAGAGGAAGGACCACATCGGAGATGCTGAGGTGGTTAGCCCAAAGGGAAGAAGGTCTGGGGATCTGAACCATTGTTAGTCGCTTTGTGCAAAAGAAAAGAAACTTTGAGATAGACAGCAGGGTAGATACTGGCTGTCCATCTCTAACTACACTTGACAAATAAGAGCCTTGGCAAGACAGCTTCAGAGGCCGAGCCAGCATGATCCTCGTGGGTACTGTTCCTTCTTCATCACTAGCACTAAAAGGGCTCAAAGCTTCACACCCCTGAAATGCATATGCATGTGTGTGTAGCATGTGCGTATACCCTCTTGTGCAGGTATGAGCCAAAACAGTGTCTTTCTGGTTTTCCAATGTTTTGAACCAAAACTAAATCACAGTGAGTGGTTTGAAGAGAAAGAAGGAACAGAAGAAAGGAAAGAGGAGGAAGTAGGAACTTAATTCATGACGTACACATTCGCTGGGCAGACACCCGATTCCATGTGTGTCTGGGCCTGCTCCATTCTCACTACCAAGGCTGATGGAAGGGCTGCTTTTATCTGTGACCTCCATCAAGAAGCTTTACAGACACAGAGCATACTGCAAAGACATTTTAGCTTACCAGGGCACTGGGCTTGCTGACTGAGAAAGTAGTTCTCGGGTAAAAACACCCTAACTCTGTAAGATTATAGCTGAGAAAATGAGTCCCTCAGAAGGACACTGCTAAATAAATAGTCACTACTATTGTTAATGACAACTACAGGAGCTTGCAAAAAGCACACCTCACATGTTTCTGGTACTTTGTGTGGTTTAAAAAAAAATAAATAAAAGAGTGGTATGTTTATTTTCTGGTTTAAAATAAAAAGCTATCTTCACTCAACTGAAAAATAACATTTTCATTTCTGCTAAATTTAACCCCGGGAGTGGGGAGCAGAGAACGGAACAAAATGTGTTCCTAGAAACCGAACTAGGAGCGGTCACACTGCTCCATTTAATTCAGGCTTCAGTAGTCAAGTCACAATCTCTGGCCAAGTTCCCCTCTTTCTGTACATTCAAAGAATCTTTATGTAGCTAAATGGGCCACTAAATCCTTCAAGAATCATTGAAAGGAAGCACTTCCTCCGAATTCTCTCTCACTTCACAGAGCCCATGCACGCACAACAGAAACCACCCAGAAAGGAGGATGCAAAGCCTCCCAGAATCCTTGCACATGCAAAACGCATCCTCTCCAGCCACAGAGGTCCTGGCTTTATTTCCAGTATTAACAGCCAATATTTGAAAGCTATAAGGGCACCTGGGGAGAGCAATAATAAGAAGTGTAGAAAAATATATTACAAGTAAAAAAAAAAGAAGAAGAAAAAGAACATGGTTCTACTAGAAAAGAGGACTGTGGCCCAGGGGGAGCCCCTTCTTTTTTTCTGGTCAGGATGCAAAGTGTCTTTATTCTAACACACTGGACAACTGGTTTTCCCGTTCCACCAGCATCCTATGCAGACTATGGTACTCCTCCAGCATAGGAAAGACATGGGGAATTGTAGTTTGGTTACCGAGCTATTCCTCACTTCACAGGACCGAGTGGGCTCCAGGGGACAAGGAGGCTGCACCAGGCACAGGGGCGCCAGCTCTACACAGCAGCCCCTGCCCATGCATCCTCATCACCAAGGATGTGAGAATGATGGAGGCCACCAGCAGGTCATTCATCACCCACTCCAAGGACAGCAAGTCTACTGGCGGCGCTGCAGCCAGGAGACAGCTCACAGGCTGCGGGAAAGGAGTGAGGAGTTACTAGTCTAAATTTTTCATTTCACTTGTTTATTTCCTCTGTTGCAGCCCTCTGTAGGAAAATTATTTTCTGTATAAACAAATTCATCAAGTTAACTTATTCAAGGATGGAAATAACCGGTATCACATAGCATTTTGCAAAACAAAATTGCCACTGTTGTATTCCACTGTGTAGACGCAAACTGCTCTGGCAATTCAGTCCCAGTACTAACACAACCCAAACCCCCTATTACCTTCATCACTGCATATTCAATTTACATAATTATTCTGCTATGCTATTCAGAATTTACATGTAGTCGTATGCATTCTCGTTATCCTTGATTCAAGGATGCTATTTCCTTGTAGACTTAACTGAACAAGGAGACCACAATTGACATACTCCAATTCATCTGACCAATAGCAACAATGTGACTTGACAAAATAATGGTTTGGTTTGTTAATTTATTTAACATCTCAATGCAATTATCCTATGTTTGGACAGCCAATCCCGAAAGAGCATCAACAACAGGAAAGCTTCTGGGGATGGTCCTTGTCACACTTCACTGTAAATCAGCCAGTGGTCACACACATGGTGATGCTATCCAAGCTAACAGGTGCTACCAACTCTCACAGCCCCCCCCCACACACACACATAACCCCCAAACATGGCTTGCTAAATCTCTGGCAAGCAACCTATCAGCTTCCTGTCACTTGAACATCTCCATATACATCAATGTGTTCCAAAGATTCTCAACTCATTAATGCTAAAAACAGCTTTTGTACAGCTCACATGCAGACAGTGAGGGCCAACAGGGAGAAGGAAAGAACTACACTTTCTTCCCGAGCAAAAAGACTCTCCTGCTCCTACAAAAAGAGTATGTGCAGGCCCCATTCAGGAAGCTGTGCTAAACAAACACTCACAGAGACCCTAACTCACGCTCGGGATGACAGCTGCTGGCCCGCCCTGGAGACAGCCCCCCAAAAAGCTCTTGGGGCGAACACAGATCTGTAAATGTACCTAGGAAATGCTGCACACCCAGTGCTGACTGAGCTGGGACCCACAGCTGTCAGGAAGTTGCAACATGGGCCACTATTACAGAGAGCACTTCCGAATCTACCACCAAAGTGCTCTATGGCAGGGAAGGGTGTGTCCATGTAAACTGGTCAGACTCAGGCTGAATATGGCTGCAAATTTATGTCAGAATCCCAGAATGATTCCATCCATTACCAGAGTTAGTTTCAAAAAAGAAAAGAAAAAAGTCAAAATAATTACGATGAAAACTGAATCCAAATTATCCTGGTACTGAACCTGTTGGTGATGCACTTGGTACACCTACACCTTAACAAGAAAGGACATTCCTTATCACGTTAGGATTTGACTTCGCTTTCTGAGAGCTATGACATGGGTTTCCTCACACCAAAGCACAGTACTTATACCTGGGAAGTTAACTACTTTAAAAACAAACTCATACTGTCAGACTGACATCTTCTATACTCATCATTATCGTCCCAACACTCACCTACAAATAAGTACTTAATAAAATGTCCCTTTAATAAGAGGAAAGGTTTTGTAATGAGTTGTGGGCTTAGAACGATATTTAACAGAGACTGGATACTGAGGAATCAGAGCCTGACTGTAACTACAAAAAAAAAAAAAAAAAAAAAAAAAAAAAAAAAAAAAAAAGAAAAAAAAAAAGAAAAGAAAGAAAAGATAAACAAGAAATGATTCACAGCATAACCTTGGATCTCAGTTACCTCTCTATTCCGATCAGGATGCTCGAGAGATCTGACCTTTTGCTCTCCTGGTACAACTACCATCTCCTGTGTGCTGGTTTGCCTGCACACATACACACGATACATGCCACCAGCCAAAGAGCTTCAGGTAGCCATCACAGCAAGTGTAAGGCAAGGACCCAAGTGAGTACGGATGCGCACAATTGTTTACACATGCACACAGGACAGAGGACAGAGGGTGGAGCGTGTCTTCTATCAGAGTGTGCAAACGGGCTCAGATTAACCAAGTCTGGCCATACTTGCGTCTGGAAACTATATTTTCTAACATGAGCCATATTTTGAAAAACAGATTCAGATGTTTGGAACTGGTTCAGAACAGTTGTTAGAAATGTTCAGAACAAATGAAAAAAATTAGTCTTCAATGTCGTCTCTCAGATTTTCTTACTGAAAAAATATGCCTTCTAGGGGGTCTGAGAGTTGGTGGGGAGTACACAGCCAAGAGGCTCTTCCCTGTTACCTAAAGCACCCACTGTTTGTCCTCGAGGCCACGTGTAATGATGAGTGCTACTGGATTTCTCCCACACTGCCCGCAAGGACTCCACCTGCCTCAAAGACTTCACTTACCCTGCCAAGCAGACACTGTTAATTCTCTTTCAGATTCTGGAGACCGTGCTGATATGCTTAGAGCCTTACAGGGGCCTTGCTTCACCTGCAAACTTGTCCAATCAGTTACCAGAGAGCCAAGCATAGTTCTGGCTTATAAAATAAGAAGTCGGTTGCTAAATAAAATTTTTCTTTATCTGGTTAAAGACTCTAAATCAACAGTCCCTAACAGTGGAGCCCTAAGGTCTGGAACGCACAGAAACCTTCACTTTTTTACTACATAAGCAACAGGTGCTCAAGAATGATAAGAAAATTAGCAGCTAGTCCACGCCCCATGCGGACCACTGCAGCCTGGGGCTGGTCGGCCTCGGGCCTGTGACTCCACCCACAGCCTACCTTGACTTTTTGCTGGATTTGGGTTTTGGTGTGGCAGTTTTCGCTTTCTTTTCCTTTGGCTCTTTGGGGATCTTCGGGGCTTTTGGGGTCTTGGGCTCTTTCTTCTCCTTCGGTTCCTTCAATTCCTTCGGATCTTTTTTGACTTTCGGCCTTTTCTTTTTCTTTTTTTCCTCTTGGGACCCATCCAGTGAGTTCCTATTTAGTTCTTGGCTATCAACCCCACCAGGGAAGTCGTCTTTACCAAAACTTTTACTGGGATCCCCTGCAACAATGTGGTTGTTTTTCTTTTTCTTCTTTTTCTGCTGTGACTGCTGTTCTATCGATGGCAGGTAATCGTCACTCTTCACTAGCTGAGAATTCTGTCCGCTGACCTGAGTCATATCCGGCACTGGCTTCTCTAGAAAGGGCTCCGATGGAGAATGCTAAGAAACACAAATGGGATTGAAATTAGTTTCTCATTCATCAAGGTAGAGAAAGGCACTGAAAGGCAGTGGCTGATGCTTCTGGAGTTTTATTCTGTACTCAAGGAAACAGACATCTACAAACTGAGGGCCATGGGATTTGCCATTTTCTTTCAGCCTAGACACATTTGTTTCTCTAAGAGGAATGCTTTTAAACAGGGAAATGTTATTTTTAAATACCAGCTTATTACTACAGGAAAAAAAAATTAGTACAGGAAGAGAAAAACTGTCACAGAGCAAGACATTCTGCACATTTTCAACTACAAGACCATGGGATATAGAAGTAAACATGGATTCGGTCTAGAGCATTCTTTCCTCATGTGAGATGGTGTACTCAAAGATATAGAATACAATTGCTTTTAAAAAAGAACAAGTTATACAATACTAAAAAATTCCGACAAAGTACAACATAAGTTTTATACAGTATTCAGGTCACTTCTAAGCTAAATAACATTAAATTGTCTAGATTAAAATGTCATGTGAAAGAATGACTTTGCATCGGCTAACATTCTTAAAGTAATATGAAACATGGAGAATCTTTTCCCTAACTTCTTGAAGTCAAATCTTTTATTTATTTTTTAACTGATGAAGAAAGAGCTCCGGTAGTTAATGTAGGGTATAGTGTAGGGAAATCCTGACATGTACTAGAGAGGTGCCCAGAGCACAACAGAAAACACTGGCAAATAGGACAAGATGCTGAGAAGTCACCTGAGGTCACAGTAAATGACTCCTGCAGAGTGGTCCTATAGCCCCAAAACAGGGCAGCGTGAGCACATCATCCACACGGCAAACCTCAGCATCTGAGAAACCTTCACATTTCAGAAAAATACCTGAATACATCCCACCTGCCACCTTCAGTCATCACCTGCCTTTTCCCTGTGTTCCTGAGAGATGAGTAATCTTATGACGTGCCCGGCCAGAGTGGGCTCCATCATCTTAAGATCTCTCAATCCCCCAAGTCAGGCCTTTGGACTAAGACAACGACCCTTCCTATATTTCACAGTTGGGACAATGATGTACTAATATAAAGTAAATGTCTGAGGAAACACAGATCACAATGGAATACACCTTACTCCCTACCAAAGAACAGCAGAAGGAAGGCCACGCCTACCCCACAGTCTCAACACTAACACGGGATAAGCTAAGCATTACTGTGGGCAAGGTCAGAACCCCACACTGAAGTACAGGTAACAGAAATCACATCTCAATATCTCGTATTTATCCAATCTATTCCAAGCCATAAACTGAGCTTCTATGTCCATTCACCTGAATCTACAAGGAAATCTCAGTAATTTATCTCCATCTTTCAGAGAGAAACTTAGGAGTTTCCGGAGGTAACATGGCTCCCTGGGACCATATAAGGGCTGAAGGGGAAACCTGAACACAGCTTTCCCTCATCTGGTGTCTTCTGACCCCATCTAGCTTCTAAGAACCTTACACAGGAATACTTCTCGGGAGGCGGCATGAGTTTCATCCCCTCCCCAAAGGGCTCTGTGACTGTCCCCAAAACAACATTTTACAAACGGAATCACAGCTTGAGAAGGCAGCTCACCACCTTCACCAAAGGCGGCCCTGGCTACTCTAAAGATAACCACATTCAATTCTTGAGCCACACCAGCAGGGCAGCAAATACCCCAGAACCCCATTGAAATTCTAGTCCAGGCCCATCACCAACTGCTCTCTGGAGAAGCCGCTCTACTCAACCAAAGCTCAGCTTCTTCACCTGCTAAGTGAAGAATTTACGTTTGTTTCCAAAGAGTCTTCCAGTATCTGGGAAAGGTGATCATGTAGCTTAGAGGTATAGTACTTTCTAACACACATAAGGCCCTGGGTTTGATCCCCACCACTCCAAAAACAACGGCAACAACAAATTGGTATTAAGATGTGTGTGTGTGTGTGTGTGTGTGTGTGTGTGTGTATTTATATATAATTTTTGTTGTTTTTTTGAAACAGGATTTTTCTGTATAATCCTGGCTGTCCTAGAACCCCGTTTGTAGAAGACCAAGCTGGCCTCCAACACAGACTCCTGAGTGCTGGGATTAAAGGTGTATGCCACCAGCCCCCCCCCCCACACACACTCTCTCTCCCACCCCTGGCAGACCAATATAAAAAATAGATATTGCCCCCTTCCTGGTCACAACAAACAGGCATGTCAGAGGACAAAGGTGGACATCAAGGGTGAGGGAGGGCACGCCGGTGCACACTCACAGGCCACTCCTGTGCACACTCACAGGCCACTCCTGCGCACACTCACAGGCCACTCCTGCGCACACTCACAGGCCACTCTGGTGCACACTCACAGGCCACTCCTGTGCACACTCACAGGCCACTCCTGCGCACACTCACAGGCCACTCCTGCGCACACTCACAGGCCACTCCTGCGCACACTCACAGGCCACTCCTGCGCACACTCACAGGCCACTCCTGCGCACACTCACAGGCCACTCCTGAGCACACTCACAGGCCACGCCGGTGCACACTCACAGGCCACTCCTGTGCACACTCACAGGCCACTCCCGTGCACACTCACAGGCCACTCCTGCGCACACTCACAGGCCACTCCTGCGCACACTCACAGGCCACTCCTGCGCACACTCACAGGCCACTCCTGAGCACACTCACAGGCCACGCCGGTGCACACTCACAGGCCACTCCTGTGCACACTCACAGGCCACTCCCGTGCACACTCACAGGCCACTCCTGCGCACACTCACAGGCCACTCCTGAGCACACTCACAGGCCACGCCGGTGCACACTCACAGGCCACTCCGGTGCACACTCACAGGCCACTCCTGCGCACACTCACAGGCCACTCCTGTGCACACTCACAGGCCACTCCTGTGCACACTCACAGGCCACTTCTGCACGCACTCACAGGCCACTCCTGCACACACTCACAGGCCACTCCAGTGCACACTCACAGGCCACTCCGGTGCACACTCACAGGCCACTCCTGCGCACACTCACAGGCCACTCCTGTGCATACTCACAGGCCACTCCTGCACACACTCACAGGCCACTCCTGCACACACTCACAGGCCACTCCTGTGCACACTCACAGGCCACTCCGGTGCACACTCACAGGCCACTCCGGTGCACACTCACAGGCCACTCCGGTGCACACTCACAGGCCACTCCTGTGAGCTCCTACACGGAGGAATAAAATGAGCCTGTGTTTACCCCACCTTTCAGACAGCAGTGTGGCTACCAGGAGCCACATAAGGGAAAGAGATGAGATGTGGACCTGAGTTTCCTAAAGCTAGCACTCTTATGACTCTAGCCCCCTCTTCCTGGAACCTTCCTTACACACAGGCATCTTCCTGGGAAGGAAACAATGTGAAACCAGAACTAACCAAACACTGAAGTCGTCGCTGGCCTCTATTTTCCCTCACAAACACCTTTGTGACCTAGTGACCTCCACCCCAGGCATTAGATAAAATATTAGCTATTAGCTGATCTGACTTCAACTTTTACTCCATGCAAGCAGCTGAAGTTCAAAAAAAAAAAAAAAAAACAGTGCTTTTCTGCATGCGGCATAAAACGCAAACTTCCTTGGGAGAACCTAGTATTTTTAAAAAACAGAAGAAAAGTTATTCCTTGAAAGAAAGGGAAAGTCAGAACAATGACTCCAATTTAGAGCAGTGAATTACTTACTACGGGGCATGTATACCCATCTCCAACCTGCACAGCATCCACAGGAACAGAGTACCAGCACCTCCTGGGAGCTTCGCCAGCACACATTTATAAATTAGGAAAATCATCTCATACACAACACAAAATTCTGAAAATTCATCCACACACTTTAGCATGCAAATGATTTAGATGCTTCTTTTAGAAATAAATGAGGCCATAAATTAGTCGGTAAAAACTTTAATCTTCCACGAGGAGAGGGAAAAAGTGAAGACTGAACACACAGAGAAAAAGTATTAACCTTGTTTGATATGCAGCAGAATTGTTTTGGCATTATCTGAAGGAGGGCGGAAAAGGTGCTCAGAGATGTGTTTACCAGACCTACTTCTCCTTGAATCTTATAGAGGGAAGCTGTTTTTGTAAACAAAGAACAGATGGTCTGCCTTAATCATGTGGGGGGAAAAGAATGTGGAGCTCCCAGTAATGCCCCACAAAGTCTCTCAGGCCAGGCTCCTCCTGCTCTCCCCACCAGGAACATGGTACGGTCTTCTCTAATGCTATTTAATTTTACAGCGGGCATTTTCCCATCAATCCCCGCTGCCTGACAGGTAATCAATGCCATTAACATCTGATATTACCATACAGGCCATTCCTACAACCTCTTGCTTATTAAAGCGAATGTGAGGGACTTTAGACACCAAGCGTATTTCACTTTCCCCCATAGGACTTTCTACATGACACAGTTCTATCATAATTCCATATGCCTTCTGACATACTATGATACCTGTAAGAGGTGTGCTGTGGACTTTGGGGACCTAAAACAGCTGACTGATATTTAAATACATAAAAATGGCCCCAAGATGTAGATGTTTTATAGGTAAATATTAAAAAATATTCAATCATATTGTTTTTATCCTTAGCTCCACTGCAAAGAAAGAGCACGGAGATTAGAAAAAACAGGAGTAAGCTCTTTTAACTGGGGGGGGGGCAGATGCACTTATCCATGGCGAGCCAATGGGGGGGCAAGAACAATTATCCGCTACTTGGCAAAGATGACCCACAGTGCTCTGACAGTGTGGACAGAGACAGTTTTAACTGTCCGAAGCGTGCTTTTCTTCTAGGCATCTTCAGGCTTAAAAGGCTACCTTACCCTCTTTTTCCACATTTCCCCCTAACTGTACTCTTGACGTCTGAACCTGTAAGCAACATAGAGTAACACGGGTGAACAAAATCATACCACCGACACACGACACACAATTTCTAAAGCTCACAGTATTTCAGACACGGCGCCGCACCTGTGGGAACACAGTGTTTGGACAAACACTCATTTA